AACATTTTCTAATGGTGGTGTGCCTCATGATTTTTTTCATGAAAAAAGTGTGCCTTTGCACAAAAAAGGTTGAAAAACACTGGGTTAGAGGATAAATATAAAAATTAGATATAAAAGTAGATGAGTAAAATATAGAAAATAGTTAATAGAGTTAAGAGAACTAAGAAGAGGATGTAAAGTATCAGATATCTAATGTGTTGGTATTAGGCTAAGAATAGATTAAATAATCAATATGATTGTAAATTTTAACTGTTATTGCACAAATATTTGTACCCAGACAACACACTGTTTAATGGAAGATGGATTATTTGTACTAAAATAAAATTTAAAAGTTTTTTGGGGGGGGACTTTTAAAGGCAAGCCGTTCCATTGATTAATTATCTATCCGCTGTCAAGAATTTCTCTCCTTGTATCAATTCTGAGCATTTCTGTGCAACCTTATAGCATCCCTTGTACTGATTGAGTACATTATTTGAGTCTCCATTTGACTGCCCACTCTCCCTCCCTTCTTCCAGCATCTAAGAGGATTAGCCAACCATCTCACTTATCCAGAGCTGACATGGAAGTGAAATGTATATCATTTGGAAATGAAAGCAGAGCTGTTCTTCTGCACATTTCCCCAAATTCATTTGATAGTATTGACATTTGTACTTAAACACAATCCACTTAACCATGGCAAGTAAAACCTTAAGCTAGGTTAGTATGGTCCAAGCCCAGCCTGTTGGGTCCCCTCCCCCTTCTCCCCATTTATGGATGGATGTGTTTGTGAACACAGAAAATAGATTAATTCAGGAAGCAGATCCAGCACATTATGTGAATAGAGCCACCCAGTTTTTGCTTGTACTTAGTTACTTAGCCCAGATTATTGGAAGATTATTCCTTTTTTTTTTTACTATCTCATTACAAAAGAAGATTACTGCCAAACATTTACACTTAAGTGTCTGCTAATGCCCAGAGCAAAAGAGACAGGATCTTTAATCTGGAAAGTTTAATTCAAAATGGTAGGTGATACTCTTGATTTAGGAAATGACACCAATGATTGAAAGAGAAGCAAGAGACATTTTAGGCAATCTTCCCCAAGTCATCCTACAGATAGTTGAGATGGCACATCATTTCTAATAATACAAATAACCATTTGAGTTGTATTTGAACACGCTTGGAAAATACCAGGTTGAGAAAGGTTGCACCATCAGCCCATTGAGGTAGATCTTTCCTTTCATCGAAGAGTACCAAAAAGCATTGAATTGCTCCAAATAACCCCCTTCCAACTGTATGATTTTATGATTCTATAAGATAATAATCACCTAAAGCGGTGGTCTTACAAGCAATTAAGCACAGAAGTAGAAGGGAAGCAGCCATCGTTACGGAAGTTGGTTATTCTTCTCAAGAACTTTCTTCGTGCTTTGAGAGAAGATGTCCCAAGCTGACAAAAGGATGTTCCTCAGAGTCCAAGGTGCAAATAAAGACAGGGTCAGTAAGGAAAAAACACCCTTTTCTACTCTTCTGGCCAATTCCTTATCACATTGTCTTCAGCAACTGCCCCTGTCCCACCCCTTGCCAACTTTCCACATTCTTCCCTTCCCTCGTAAGGATCTTGACCCCTGATAGCAAACAAGTTTGGCTTGTTCTTTCTCGAGACAATAGAAAACAGCCACTAACTGGACAATTTGAGAGGGCATCATAGGGCTGGAGAATGAGGAGACATGATACTGAAAGGTAAAATGAAAGATAACTAAGCCAGAAAATACCAGTAATATCAAGTATGGTGCAGTGGTTAGACTTTAGGATTAAGACCATGGAGACTCAGATTCAAATTTTCACTCATTCACAAAAATATGAATGAGGAGCACTCAACCATGTGAAAATAAGTATACAGTAGGTAGACCTCACTTAGCAACCGCATTTGGACCAGTAAGTCTGTTGCTAGGTACCACAGTCACTAAGCAGAAAACCATATGACCTCGATGGGCTTACATGTCATTTCCCCTGAAGTGATTAAGAGAATCACCCCAGTTATTAAATAAAACATGGGGCTGCGATTTACAGTATTACTTCTGTCTTCTCTATTATTTCTGTTTATTGCAAGCCAGTTGCGAACCACACAAATGGCAACCATAGGACTGCAGGACACTGCAACAATGCAAGAATTGGTCACAAAGCTTTTTTTTAAACACCACCATCAAAATGTCAAATGGTCATTAAACAAGGCAGTTGGTAAACGACGTCTACTATACATTGGAACCTGGAACCTGCTGGATGATACCACTCATTTTCCTAAAATGGCCAATGGGTTGCACTTGAAAAGTTCAGATTCTTTTACTCTGGCAATCATTAGAATCAAGCCTCAATGAATGAGCCAAATATTGATCTGAAATTTATATTCAGATTAACAGAGTTGGAAGGGACCTTGCACTCTAGGTCATCTAGTCGAATCCTCAAGCAGGAGACCTTACACCATTTCTGATAAATGGCAGTCCAATCTCTTTTTAAAAGCCTCCAGTGATGAAGCTCCCACAACCTCCGAAGGCAAGTTCTGTTCCATTGGTTGATTATTCTCATTTTAGAAAATGTCTCATTTCTGGATTGAATCTCTCCTTGGTCAGTTTCCATCCATTATTCCTTGTCTGGCCTTCAAGTGCCTTGGAAAATAGCTTGACCCCCTCCTCTCTGTGGCAGCCCCTCAAATATTGGAACACTCATGTCTCCCCTGGTCCTTCTCTTCACTAGACTAACCAAGCCCAATTCCTGTAAGCGTTCTTCATGTTTTAGTCTCCAATCCCCTCATCGGTTGCTCTTCTCTGCCCCTTTTATATAATAATCTTTCTTATATAATTCTTAACATGAATTTATCCCAGGACCATGTCGTG